AAGTTTAATGATTTTTTAAAAACTTTTTAGACAGCTGTAATTTTTTGCGATACAATGAAAAAAAATTAAGTGTCCCTTTAATAGGGGTTGGTTCACTAAAAAGTGTCCCTTAATAGGGGTGTCCCAGAGTAGGGGGTGCTACTGTATTACATTGGTCGTATATTTTATATCTTAGACAACATTTCTATGATAACTTGAAGTCTTGGGTGGTGGGAAGCTAGGCCAACTATGGGTCCTTAGAAGTAAAATGTTGCTGACTGAGCCTAAATCATGATAGCATGCTTCTTCCTATACCTTTCATTACTTTGATTTGTTATTGCTTGAATACATGGCGTGTGCCACTTATTTTTTAGAATTGTTTGGAAACAGATTTGTATTGTAATATTATAAGTTCATTTGTAAATGTTAAAAGAGGCATTTTCCATGACAATAGATATTGCATTTGTTGGCATTCTGTAATTGTTGAACTTTTCTTGCAGTTTGGTGTGAAAACAAGGATATTATGAGTAATAATTTTTTAATAACTGATAATACTTATCCAATTTAACAAATAAATTTATGACTATCAAATGTGTCTTCTGAGTAACATATGGATTTTGATATAACTAAAAGTTGACATAAGCTTCAAATCCGTCAAGGTAACACCGCGCTGCATCATAGCAAAATCTATACTGCACCTACAAATAAAGAAAATATTAAAGTAATTTATAGATAAAGTATGTCTTTGTTTCGTAAGGGAAATAAGGAGCACCTCTCATGTTAGGTGTCTCACATTTTTGTGGTTTTCTTTTTGCGCTCCGATAAGACACAGCAAATTATTTTTAGTAGAAAGAGAATTCTGTAGTGTAATTTAGTTATTTGAGAAAGTTAACACGGTTGTTCTATGAGTATTGAGCAGTTCAACTGGTAAGTTAAATATCATTGTATTAAACTTCATTGTAAAAAAAGATCATAATTTATCGTAGAACATCAATTTCAATGATTAAATAAGATTGAAAAACTGAGACTGATATAGTTGCTATTGTTAGCGAGTTGCCTAAGTTTTATATTAGGAATTACGAATTAACCATCATTAGAATTACAGTTATTCTCAGAATTGTAGCATCGTGTTAGGTATATGATGAATCATCTTGCAAGGGATGGCTGTTTTGGTTGTACATGAACAGAAAACGTTAATGATTATTAGTTAGTAATTATTAGAACTATTTATTTTGAGTGCGTATTGATTTGATTGATTGAGTAGCTTAATTTGTGCTAGAGTCTAGTGCATTTATACATAGCGGAGTGATATTTGCAGTGTTATGAGGCTTATTTTTAAGTAGTTTAAGTTACAGTATATTATAATCAAGTTGATCCCTGAAAGTGTTTTATCTCTAGTGGTTAGAACTTTTGACCAGAGTAACCATGGTTATACCATGTAATACAATAGAGCGGCTGTATTGCTGTGATTCGAGAGTCGCAATTATTTCGGGTTTTCTTTATGAGGTCTACGCGAGGAATAATATGTTTAAATTACTTTAGGTATTTTTCTTTGAGTATCATAAATATAAATGGTATAATTCAAATAAATATTATCATCATTATAGAGAAACACTATTTTCATCATTATTTGATAATGCTTTGTATTTGTCATTAGGTTAATTGATATTTCAACAGTCATCTGAGTAGAGTATACTGAGTTGAGCTGTAATTTGAATCTTGGATGTCAAAAAGTGTAATTTTAAGCACGATTATATGAGTTGAATGTACTGAGAATTAGTTAAAATTACGATAGTCTATGTTATCGCGTTGAAAAGTTTGAGCATTTTGAGTTACGTAGTTTCTTGTATTTTGTATTCAATAGGTTCGAACGACTTGTTGGGACACAATAAACTTTATTATTGATATTACCGCGCGGACAGGGTAAAATTGCTCTCCATGTACCCACAATGCATTTCAAACAGATGTTCCACTATATTGGGAAGCTGCTGTATCTTCTGCTATTTATTTTCATTGGTAAAACATATTGTGCATGCGTCTCTTCCTGAATGGATTGCTACGTAGAAATCTATTATCATAATTTTATCTAAGATAACAGAGGAACACTCCCACAAGGAGGTGTTCGACCCATACAAAACCAAATATGAAAATAATAATGAATGAAAGAATGAATAAATGGATGAATGAAATTACAGTTTTTCTTATCTTCTTATATATTATCAGTTATTGACTCTTACAATAACATTTGACATATTTAAAAAATATTGTTTCAGATAGAACCTACCTTAGTGTTCACCATTGCAGGGCAAACTGATCGCAAGGTTTTCAGTATTTGGAATACATCCACAATTTTCTCTTCTTTAATTTTATCGATTATTGAATAAACGGAGCAGAACAATCCTGATCGAACCGCACCATCCCTAAATATCAATCATAAGCAAAACATATAAGAATAATTCAAATAAATATTTATGATTACTATAATTAAATCACTCTTATATATGATCATGTATTTTGTTTGTAAACATTCGATTTTGGTCAAATAAATAATTGAATAAATTATAAATAAAATTAAACGCACAGACAATGAATGATGATTGGCCGGTTACTTTGAGGAACGTGACCACGTTGAACGGCTGCAATAAATCTGACAAATGAGTCAACCTTTGGAACAGGTTCTGCCTTAGACCACTGCCGAAACTCAAAGTGCAGAATCTCTTGTACATCATTGTCCTGAATTGAAAAAGAAAAACACACAATATTATGAATATGTTAAGCCAATGAAATTATGGACAACCCAGACTTTTTTTCAAATGTTCTGAATAGAACCGTTGGTTATAGGATTTTTGAGAAAATTTTTATGAACATTTTGGTGCCGTTCTGACCGTATGGCGGAAGAGAATCTGAGTAGGCCTAACTTTTGTTTCTGACATTAACTTTAATAACTGACATTTTTATGCATTTTTAATGGATTGTATTCGGTGGCGTCACAGAGTTTGCGGGGCCTGGCGCTGACTGTTATTGGGGCCCCCTAATAAGTAAGCGAAGCGAGCAAAGAGATGCTGGGGGCCAAGGGGATGCGTAGGGCCTGCGGTCGGAGTCCGGGGGTGAAGCCCCTGGTGGGGTCCGAGGGGGCTTTTGTGCTCAGAGCTTATGTCATTTATGAACAGAGAGCATTGAATGGTCCATGACTGATGAAATATTTCAGACAATTTCATGACAAAACCAACATAAATTACATAGGCCAACTTTCGGAACTGGTATAGGCCTACAGTAGGCCTATGTACTCTATGTATGTGTAAATAAATACAAAGAATATTTTAGTAAAAAAAAAAAACATGTTTTCATAATATATATACAATGCAAAGCAGATTGATCACAAAATCAGAAGCAAATGTCAAACATTAGAGCCAAGATTTTATTGCTTAAAACTGTTAGGGCCCTGTTGAATAAAACTATGGTGTTATAGTTTATATTATACATTTTTTTAAACTACAATGTGGGGCCCCTCATGCCTGGGGGCCCTGGCGCTCCTACCCCATCAGCACCCGAGCGTGACGCCACTAGTTGTATAGCAATTGGAAAAAATGAATAAAAAGTGTATTAAAACTTTTTTACATAACCACTAAAAATAAGATGAGAGTTATTATTATTATTATTATTATATTTGAGTAAATGAAGTATGTGCACGACCTTCTGTAGCATGATTTTCCGTTCGATCAATAAGTCGTTCTGCTCAGACGACATGATGCTAATGGTAAATTTATCAATCTTCAGCTCTTTATTCATCCGTTGAGGAAGGTATTCGGCGCAAGTTTCATCTTTGTTATTCAGTTGTACGATTATGTCCGCCTTGTAATCTAACACTAAACGCCAAAAATCAACAGTTGTGTTGGTAGGCTCAGACATTGGAGCCTGGGCAACAATAAATGTGTTTTGCTTGTTGTAGCCCTGTAATGTAAAACAAAACGGATACATTCTTCAAATGCAGATTGTGGAATGTGGCATTATTTTTTATTCGCGATTCACATGAAATGACAAAGTATTAGATGATGGTACAGCTGTAATGATAATAATAATGATGATGATAATAATAATAATAGTTTAGAGAACAAAATTTAAATAAAATATGCAGTTTATTAATGATTTGCTCAGAAAGTTTTACTTACGTCGCAGAATGATGCATTGATGTAATCATTTCCGTTGGCGCATGGAGTCATCAAGAAAGGACGAGCTTTATTTACTTTATAAGATAAATGAATCAAGATGCAACATATTTAAATAAATAGATAAATAAATGAACCATAACTATTCGACATAACCTATCGTAATAATAATCATTTATAAGTAAGCATTTGATAATTTTGGATATAGATAGCAATTACTAAATAGAAGAACTTACATGGTAGGACAACTTTGGAACGATTCTTCAATATGTTGTCGGGAAGCCTGGCATGTGATGTACGATCATCATCAGTAGGATGCGGATATATACTGTTTAAAGTCTATAACAAAAAACGTAATACTACTTTAACTTTTTTTGTATATTTCAATCGTTAGGCCTAAACCTGTGATAATAAATAAATTTGACAATAGTATGAAAAAAAAATGTCTTTTAATTTTACAAGGGTAACTGCTTTGGCCAATCTGCCCTTCAAGCCATGATAAATTATTTAGTGGCTTATTGTTATGTTAATGTGTCTTTACGTAATGTGTACACATGCTAAGAAGTATATTGAGAAAACAGATTATGATAATAGTAGTCTTATTATTAGGTTTTTATAACTGTTTAGATCGAAACTAAATTAGAAATAAACAAAATGAAATTCACATAAACAAGGCAAGCAGCATTCTCTATTGGCAGTGTTCACGTAGTACATTATACCAAAAGTATACTAGAAATTGCAAATTGCAAGTGAAGTGCTGCGAAGTACGACTGCATAAAATGTTCTTCGAACAAAATGATTTATGCGAGTCAAGTGAAAATAATGAATAATAAAAATATAACAAATAATATGAGCACGACCCATTGTCTATATATTATTATAACAGCGTTGGTACAATAGTGTTTTGCTGCAGTGACATCTCTGCTGGCGATGGCTCGCTGTTGCTGGCGATGACTCGCTGCTGGCGAATCGATCTGCGCATGTGTATAAAATGGTATTTATTTCCGCAAACACTATGCCAGTCTACAACAAGCGTCGCCTAAATGTAATAATTAGCAC